AAACTCTCATTCCCAGTCGTTGGTTTCAAAATGTCTTCCCTGCCTAGTTTGACATTAAAATCTAAGAAAATTTTCATATGGTACTTCAGAAATTTATCAAATACAAGTTCTAGTTCTTCATAGAACCTGTTCTTTATATCATCAATTTTATCTTCTGTTGGGGCATGAACGTTCAGAGCTATGTTGTTACACCAGCGACATCTTAGTATTATGTATGACATCCTATGACTAATATACTCTACCCTGTTAACTGCTGACATGATTCTCTATGTATGAAAAAATCTGTACCTAATTAATGATTTTCATTCCCCCTTCCATAGAAAAATGTATATTCGCCTGTTGGTTCGGTGCCACCTCCGTCTCATCTGACCTCCTGTACTCCCACTACATCTAACTTATATTCTGAGATTTCTTCCGCCACTGCCCTGAGTGAACCTGCCCTATACATACTTCCAACATTCCAAGTACCAAATCTCATAATGAAAATTACTAGTGGAAAGTATAAATTATGAAGTCTCTTGTTACACAGTTAACTGCAGTCTCTAGTCTGAGTTCCTCTCATCACTTTTTAAGGTATCTTCAGTATTGTCAGGTGTTAGTAACTAGACATGGGGTTTGGACTGATAATTGGATTTATTGAATGCTTGCAACTCATAGCTACAAATAACTATAACAGTCTCACTTATTTACAGGCTCTAAATCGTTGGAACTGCAGAACACATAAAGTACTTAAACCTCATTTGATACATTGTGGACTAGTATTGGAGATTCGTATACAAGGCTCATCCAGCCACTATTGGTGCGTCAGGTGAGATCTGAATTCACCCGGAAGGCTGAGCATGCAGCAGTTGAAGTGTTTGCCACCAATCTCAAGAAATTGCTGCTTACACCTCCTCTTAGGGGCAAGACTGTGTTAGGAATTGACCCAGGTTTTAGAAATGGTTGTAAGTTAGGCATTACCTCACACACTGGCAGTTTACTGGCAACTGATGTGATTTATCCTCCATTTGATAGGTAGATAAACCCTGATTCAGATTCCAGTGCATGTAAACTTAGGGAGCTGCTTGTAAAATACAATTGCAAATTGATTGCTTTGGGTAATGGTACAGCATGTCATGAAACAGAAGCATACCTAAGTGACCTGATTCAGAATGGTTGGCTTTATCCTCTGGATGTGAAGTTCCCTATTGTGAGTGAACAAGGAGCGAGTATCTACTCTTGTAGTCCTGTAGCACAGAAGGAATTTCCAGACACAGATCCAATTGTCATCAGTGCAGTTTCCTTGGCACAAAGATTGCAGGACCCTCTTGGCGAATTGGTGAAAGTAGAGCCAAAGCATTTGGGTGTGGGCATGTACCAACATGATGTGCCTGAGAAGGAGCTGAGTTGTGCACTTGATGAAGTTGTAGTAGAGTGTGTCAGCTTTGTGGGTGTTGATGTAAACATAGCTTCTCATTGCTTACTCAGGAGAGTAGCTGGCCTGAATTCTTCAAGAGCTGAAAAGATAATTGAATGGCGTTCAAACAGTGGGCCATTCATTAATCGGCAGCAGTTGAAACAAGTGAAAGGCATTGGACCAGAAACAGCTGTACTGTAACTCCATTGTCATTACAAATTTCGTGCAAACTCTCATTCCTAATCATTCGTTTCAAAATGTCTTCCCTGCCTACTTTGGCATTGAAATCTCCTAAGAAAATTTTCATATGGTACTTCAGAAATTTATCAAATACAAGTTCTAGTTCTTCATAGAACCTGTTCTTTATATCATCAGTTTTATCTTCCGTTGGGGCATGAACGTTCAGAGCTATGATGTCACACCAGCGACATTAAAAGGTAAAAGGTAAGGTAAGGTTGTCCATGCACTTAGTTAAGTTACACATAGTAAGTTATGGGGAACTGGAGGTATAACTTCATGTATTAACCTTAGCACTAGATGGAGGTGAGTGGTCACTGCATATAATAGCCACTTCACCCCTGGGAAAGCATCTCTGGTACTCAGCAGATAGTAGGCTGGGTGGCCCCCAGAGCTGGTGTGAATGTGGTAGAGAAGAGACCTCTTGTGCTTCTCAGGAATTGAACTCAGATTCCTCAGTCATCCAGCCCATAGCTAGGGGCTATGACTGAGATATCCTGGTTCCAAAGGGGAAATAAGCAATATTTATTAATTTAATTGAAGAACAGATGACTACAGTGCATAAATGGTTAACCCACATGAACAGGATAGAGGATAATAATAGATTGCTAAATGGTATACAGAGATATAGGAAAATCATTCAAGAGAAGGTTAATGAATTGAAACAGGACTAATCCATGAAAGATATAGGAGGAAAGAAGAGTAAAAATTAACCTTATAAGAAGGCCCTCTATCTGACAGATGGAGCATGAAACTGACCTTTGGCCTTCAAGCTTCTAATACACTTCATGTGAATGCCTTAAATAAACTTCCTGTGTACGTTTTCATTTTTTATGTAAAGGGTTTGCTCTTGTTATGGTTTATGCCACATCCTACAGTCATTGTTTACTAAATGTAGATCCAAAGAATTTAATGTAATATGTGTATGTATACATATATTATTGATTTATAGAACCACTGCAAATGAGAAATTCTATCACAGAGGTATTTAAACAGTAACTTGCTAACAGAGGGTACATACAGATCATACAGAATAAAATGGGCCTTCATTTATCCTCAGCATTTTTCACAAACAGATAATTGCAAGATATAAAAATCTTAACATACCTGATGATTCATTATGATCTTGTGAACTATTCTTTGGTAATAATATAACCTAACACCTGAATTACTTTGGCTCCTCATTTCTAATTTTGAGAAAAATTTGACAAATTGAGTGATTTGTCTGCATAACAATGTTTTGCTGAGAAAAGTTAATATATATTTTGGACTGAACTTCTGTTTACACCTGGATGATGGCTGTACAACTTATTGGATTATAGTATGTATTCTACACTTCAGTTCTATCAGTATCTAATTGTATTTTATTATAGGTTCACGGAGATGAAATGCCCCATCATAACCTCACCCCCTCAGTCTTGTTCCATTACATACCACACATAGTAGTATGAGAAATTATCAGCTTCTTTCCACTCTAATGATGTACAAGATTACTGCGTTTTCACTATGGTTCCGCCTAATATGAATAACACTCTCACTGCTAACCATATTTTTTCCCACAGACTCCATAGTTTTGCCAAACAAATTTTTATTTCGCTGTTTGTGATGAATAAATGCTAATATTTGACAGTGATCATCTGCATAAGGCAGCTGTAATGGAATTGTTACTATAGAAGTGTATAAGCTTCCTGTGTTAAAATTGAGTCTCTCAGAATGGGTGCTATGAAGAGTACTATCTTGTTTGATGTGAAGCCCTTGGACTCTGTTCATTGTGTGCTTTCTTGTTGGTTACTTGCTTGGCTTCCCATCTGAGGACTGAGGTTTCATAGTGTGAAACTGTTCAACCCTAATCAAATACCTTCAGAGATGCTAATGTATGAGTAGGGAACATAAGTGGAACAATGATAAACTACTCATAGAATGACCTACCCTGTTTTCACTGTCTACCTATGGCTCTACAGCCCTTGTGGATCTTGACCGCTTTTTTGTTTCTTAATCCATACACAGTAGGACTCCTTGGATGGGAGATCAGTCTGTTGCAAGGCCGCCACCTACACACAGAACAACACAGAATAAATGCGCACAGACATCCATGCCTCAAGAGGGTTTCAAACTCATGCCTTAGATCGCGCGGATACTGCGATCAGCCCTGCTGTCACTATGGACAGTTATGGTATTGAACCCATGAGAATTTAGTCTTTAACTGCCTGGGTTGTGGCACAGCCTGGAATGCTTTTTGTATTCTGAAAACATCTTCGTGTAATTAAGTGTTACATTAAAAAACATTGTGCCAAACAAGTGCAAATACCAGCCACAGTATTTACAGTACTTTTTATAATAAAGGCAAAGTTGCACCTGTTCCTAACTAACATTTCTTGAAGTGGATGTTGAGTTCTATATAGTCTTAGTTTCATCAATACACAATCCTTATTTTCCAGTTGCAGGAGTGGAGTGTCACTGAGTCCATTGATACTGCAAGCCTTAAATGAACCTATGATGCCAACCCCTGATTATGGATAAGTATGAGGAATTACTGAAATAACAATTTGCAGGGGGAAGCTGAAAATGTGGGAGAAAACCCTGCTTATATGCCACTTTAGCCACCATTAACCCACTTGGACTATTCTGGGACTGAACCTGAGCCCCTATAGTATGAAGCCATTAACTAGCTGCTTGAGCGATGGCATGGCCTATAGATAAAGTTAATGGCCAGTTTCACTCCTCAAGTATGCATTTGATAGGTATGGACATGAGGATAGAAAATGATGTTTCCCTGTCTGGCATTAAGCCCAGCAACCCCACCACCAACCATACTACCACTGTCACTTCTGCTGCTACTACTACTACTACACTACTACTACCACCACTTATGGGCACTGGCAGGAGGGGAAGTCAGGCATCTCCTCTCAGTTTCTCTGGAAAAATAAAAAAATATTAAATGTTAAAACCAAGAATTAAAGTGTTTGAAAAATTTTTTATTGTAAATGGGGTATGCGGTAGGGTAGTTGGTTGAGGCACTATGTTACAGACTGGAAGGTCGCGGGTTCTAGTCCTGATGAGGTAATTTTTTTTTTCAGTTGACCTGATCCTTCCAGCCACACAATGGCCCTGAGGTCGACTCAGCCTCCAACAGAAATGAGTACCAGGAATCTTCCTGGGGGGTAAAAGGCGGCCGGCGCTTAAGGCTGACAACCTTACCGCCATCTGTGAGCCGATTGTCTAGAAGATGTGGGAGCCTCGACCCCTCACAACCATATAGGCCTCCACGGCCTGTTACAGGGATAACCTTACATTTTATTATTTTAAAATACTTCTGGACAACCAGCAAAAATTGAATGGCTAAACCCTTTGTGAAACTGGCAGTTCCAATTGGTCAAGGTGCATTTAATTTGCAGGAAAGGGTTGAAATTTTACTCATGTTACATGATAACATGCACGTGACCCATCAAGGAGGATGGACAAAGTCTGCTGGGGACTCGAAGCAGATACCTATCGCATACATGATATGAACTGAATCCTATATGTATATTAATGGCGTCGAATGTTAAATGTTAAGATGAAGCATGAATGGCGGAGAAAGAGAGAATTATCGTAAGCTACTTCATTTCTTTAGGCCACTCCATCAAACACAGTTAAACACGTTGGTAATTAAACGTGACATGAATTGTTTCATGATCTGGAGATTTCCTTAACCTGTTTTTCACGTTCTGACTCTCTGAGACTATTCTGACTTGTAGGATTTGACGTTCTCACGGTGTTGCTGCATGTTATTTGAGCTTAAAAATAAGTATAGACTACTGATAAGCTCACACCAGGCTTCTGCAGTGCTGGCTAAGGTGGGAGCGATGAGGGGGATGAGAGGGTGGAGGGAGAGTTGTACACTTGCAGCTGGGCTCGTCATTCGCTTGCTCTGCTGACTTCGCTGTCACTTGATCTGTTCCTATGTCAGTGTCCAGTGGCGGCTGGTTCGTTAGACCATCCTCGACACCGTTGCTTTTTAGCATACTTTCATATTTTGAAAAAAAAAATGAAAGTAGGCATATGCGATCTACATGCCATCTGTGTTTACTCCCATCAACTACTGAATGACTGAACCATGGTATGTATCATGGCACCTGAGCTCATTTCAACGGCGTACTTCATAAATCCCTCCCTTCAGTCTATGTGTCTATATGTGTGTCCTTCCTACCGTTGTTAGTTTAGTTTTATTTTATTTATTTTTTATTTATTAAATGAAATCACGAGTAACTCCGAAATTTTGGCGTCAAATGACTGAATGATACCGGTTCGTGATCTGAAAAATATTACATTTGCCAAACCGGCATTTGCATGGAGGGACTGAGGAAATCCAAGAAAAATTCATTTAGGACAGGCAATGTTCCGGCCCCAATTCGAACTGAGCATCTCCCCCCAAAAAATCAGAAGCGTTACTGACTGAGCCGCCTTTCTCGAGTCCTCACTTCATCATCTATACCATCACTAATAAAAGAAAATTTACCTAATAAAGTCTCGTATTAATTATAAGAACATGAAGCTATTATATATATTCTTCTGCCATTGCCCTGAGCGAACCTACCCTGTACATTCTTTTAATGCTAGTGGGGTGGGACTAAGTCCCTTGTACTGCGGCCACTTCTGGCCTATTGTACCAGCCCCAGATGATAGGTGAGGGTGATTGTGGAGCAAGTGGTGGAATGAAGATTGGC